ACCATTGAAGGAAATGGAGCTGGGAGGCCGTGCATGTTTCCTTTCTATTACGAAAGCAATTGGTATTCGGAGTGCACTGCAATTGACTCTCCAGGGAACCGTAAATGGTGTGCGGTTGAAACAAAATATGATCATGGTCAATTCTGGGGTTACTGCCCAACTAACTGTAAGTACACAACAATTCTAATACAGGTTTTCAGAGTAATAAGCAGAACCTGGACATCCAAATTTAAATATTGAGGAACGGCATCTTGAGGTACAAGTTCAGTGCAATACTATAATACTTTGACTGTTTTTGTGTCATAGCCAAAGAAACTTGGAACAAAGGCCCTACAAAAGGAGCATCTTATCAGCTGAACACACAGTCAGCGCTTACATGGGATCAGGCTGACGCCAGCTGCAAACAGCAGAGTGCCTCCCTGCTCAGTATCAGCAATCCTTACGAGCAGGCTTATATTTCAGGTAAGGAGACAAATCTCCACACTACACTGAATATATTGAAAACAAAACATTTCATTTATGCTGAGGTTTGACAAATAGCTAAAACTTGAAACATTAAAGTTACTGTGGTAGGGCTATGCGATGTGACCAAAATTTCGTGTTCCGATTTAAGAAATTTATCGTCACAACAACAAAATATATATATATATATATATTACAAAAATTTTACATTTTATGTAAATTCTGTGAATCTCGGGACACTCAACTTGCTGGAAGTGTTTTCAGCTGGGCGTCGTGTACCTGGAGTCAAGTGTTAGGGTTTAGACATAAGTTGTAACGGCCACCATTTTCTTTGTGAGTATTTATTACATGGCGTGCTGCTGGGAAAAGCCTGTTCTAACGTTTGAGTCTAAGGTTTATTTTTTAGCACCTAAAAATATGCATATTATGCATATTCTGGCATGCTGGGTTTACTGTCGTTGTTGCTAACCACAACGCGTAAAAACAGTTGCTTGTCCATCCGTAGTGTAGTTATTTTAAATATAAGAGAAAGAGAGAACTTTAAGAAACTGATATAGCCACTACAGTGACCATCAAAAGGATGAAAAAATATTGCCGTAAACAGTTTATTTTGCAAAACCATGAAACAAATGATAATGTAATATGTGGTCTGTAGACTGTAGACACTGCTCCAGCTGATGATTATGTTTTGAGTATTACACTTGGTAACTTTTTGTTTTCTCTGTCTCTTTTCTCTGTTAAACTCTACTGACAGCACTATTAGGGGCAAATTGGGGACAGGATTACAAGCTTTGGGTTGGACTGATCTTCCAGAATTTAGATTATGTGTGGAAGTGGTCTAATGGGAATCCTTATGCATATCTGAATTGGGATTCAGGTAAGTTTTCTTTCAAGTTTCAGGAGCTTGTGTTACCATTCTGATGATATTTTATCTTACTAATGTTAAATTATCTCATCAATTCATCTTGATCATGTTTGCCATC